AAAAAAAAACATACTTTCTGCATCAGCTCAATGCATTTAATAAAAATTAATTTCCTTTTTAAGTGGTGGACTCCAAGCTTATACCTTGAAGGCTTGAACCTCCTTTCACCTAGATTCAAATCATTGAGTTACAAAAAAAGTCATATTTCTAAGACAGGAAAATGCTGAAATGCTAAAGCAACCTTAATGTAGCGCATCTCTGAAAAAAGCTATGCTTTTTTTTTTTTGAATAAATTTACAGGGTCGGATTGGAACAGTTGCACTGGAGCAGGAGAATGTACTTTATATGTGATTTGATGTCACTGTACCCAAAAACCCAAGTGCAATAAAATTATGCTTTTTAAATAGTAGATTTATTTATATATAAATTTTTATATTATATTTATATAAAAAATTAATAATTGATAATTTATTTTTAATTATTTAAAATAATTAATTTTTATTAAAAAATTATGATAACTTTTAATTATTAAAAGTAAATTAACAATTAAAACTTTATATAAATATAATATATAGATTTGTGTTATAAATAAATGTATCCACTTTTAAAAGGAGCAGGACATTTTCGAGTTAGTTGTCGAATCAGATAGTTTACTATTTTCGGCTCAGGCTTAGCTTTTTATTTTGAATCAGATTCCAATCTTTTAAGATCAGAAATGCAAATGGGAAATCTAGATTGAAATTATACAGAAAAAGACTTTGGATTTTAGAATTTTGTCAATTTCATTGATAATGCGCGTTTGATATTTTGGACTCTGTTTTTTGCGTTGGACACAATCATGAAAACAGTTGATTTTTAGAACTCGAGTCAGCATTGATTTTAAAGAATTAGGCAAAAAGTAGAATTTGAGTCAATAGTTGAAATTGAAATTAAAAAAAAAATGGAAATAACATGGTAGGAGGACAACACGGTGATGTTCAAAAATAACACTTGAACATCAAAAACAGAGCACTAAAAAGTTACTACTAAAGAGTTCTACTTGTAGGATATAACTAGCGTCAGGCCTCCTCCATCACTGCTGCTGTGGACTTGTTGTATTCTTCCAATTCTTTCTTGTAGGCTTCCATGGCCTCAGCTGCTTTGGAATTCCAGACTTGTTTCTCTTCTTCACCGAGTTCCTAATACCCAAAACACAAGCCGAAATGAAGAGTCAATTTAATCAAATTATGATGATGAGGGTCGGTTACGTTTAGAAGAGATTGATTTATTCATGAATTAGCACCTTCCATTTCACTGAAATCAGTGCATTGAGAGTGGCATTGTTAATTCCTTGTCGCTCCTGCATCAGGGTTTTCCTTGCTTCTTTGCTGAAGAGAAGGAATGAGGAAGCAGGCTTCTTTGGCTTGTTAGGGTCAGAATTCTGTTGCTTCTTCTTCTGGCGTTTCTCCTTTGTTTTCTGCAAATTATGTTTTATGATTAACCGTCAAAACCATACAATTTCCAAAATGAATAATAGAAGAAGCAGTTCATGGGGAGGAGAAATCAATGTACCTTGATGATATTTTCTGTTTTCTCTTTCTTCTTGAGAAGCTGCAGAGCTTCTTGTTTCTGAAGTTTCATCAACTCCTCCTCTTCCTTCTTCAAATTCATAGCTTCTTCCTCCTTTCTCAGCTTGTAAGCCTCCATTTCTTGCATATACTTTTCCTTGTTCTTCTTTGCCATCTGTGCAAATTGCCAAATACCAATTCAATAATTGTAAGGAAAATGAACGGTTTGAGGGGTCAATTTCCGAGACAAACCTCTTCATAAGGCCCCCTCTGTTCTTCATTCATAGCTTTCCACTCTTCACCGGCAATCTTGGCTACTTCCAAAACATTCTTGTTCTCTGCCAAAAGAGCAGCTCGCCTTTCATTTGAGAACAGGAAAAATGCTGACATCGGATGCTTTGGTTTCAATGGATCCTTTTCTTTCCTGTAAAGACCCAAAAAACACAATCAGCATACTTCCTATTAACAAGGAAAAAAGAACAGAAAACAGAAGCAATATTGATTTGTATACTTGGTCTTCTTGTTCTCCTTCTCTGCTTCCTGCTTGTACTGTAGATATTGTTCAAGAAGCTCCATAGCTGTCTTCTGTTTATGCTCCTCATCCAAAAGCTTCATTGCTTCAGTTTCGCGTTTCTCCTTCGCCATCACTTGCAGATAGGCTTCCTTCTCAGCCTGATACTTTTCTTCATAAGGCTTCTTTTCTTCAGCAGTAACAGTCTTCCATCTTGCCCCCAAAATGTTTGAGATCTCTTTGAAGTCTGCCTCCGGTTTCTCCTTCTTGACCTGCGAACAATACCAGAAGACCATGATCATGAATATGACAATTAAGACAAACCCAAAACATAGGATTACCCATCTTAATTGGAATACAGGCATCAGCTATACCTCATTCCATTGATCTTTGCACCACAGGATATAAGGTGGAGATGGCCTTTTCTTTTCAGGGCAACCCTTCTTCTTCTCCTTCTTGTCTTGCTCCTTATCTTGCAAGGATTGAGCAATTGGAAAAGTCTGAAGAAGGAAAAAAACGAACAACAATCATTTCTAACCCTCACAACAGGTTCCGAACATAAATATTATCAAAATTGTCAACCACACTTTCCCTTTCATCCCATACCCAAAAACCAAAGATCGTTCTTGGTACAGAAAGCAGTAAGCAATTCAAGCAAAATAAAGGAAGAATTAAAGGGAAATCCATAAAAACGAACCACGGTGGGCTTGAATTCCTTCATCTTCTGCAGCTTCTTGAACTCCATCTGAAGCTTCTCCTGCTCCTTTCCCTTGTTCTCAAGTTCCTCTTCCTTGATCTTCAACATCTCATCTTTCTCCTTCAACAGCTCCTCCGTCTTCTCCTTCTCAATCTTCATCTTCTGCAGCATATCCTGCATCTCTAGCAACTCCTTCTCAAAAGACTGCTGCTTGCTCTGCTTTCCTTTCCCGCCCCTGGTTTTCTTGGGAGAAGTTCGAGTCTGGGAAAGGCTCTCATGGTTCTCTTTTGTGGGATCGGCTTCCATGGGAGAAGGAACCGGAGCCGGCGAGGCTTGGGAGATCTTTTGGGCAACGAAATTGGCTTCATTCACTGTTGGGTTTTTCTGTTTCAGTGGTTTTCTTGCGTTTCTTGATTTCTTGGTGGCGACATTTGTATCAAGAATAGCTGTATCGGCCATTTTAGGAGAGAAAAAAAGAGGGGGGCGAGAGGGTTTCTGAGATTCGTAAAGGTTTGTTAGTGCAGGAGAGCGGATTGGGTGCATTATAAAGAAGGGGATGGACGGGAGCGCAACGGTCATAATTTTCAAATTCAAAATGAGTTTTGTGGATTTAAGTGCGGTTTGAGGTCCACATTCAAAAATATTTTACCGTTGGTGCAGATTGTGTTGATTTTGTCAAAATGTAATCGGCAATTTTCCCAAAAGAAAAAGGTTAAAAGACTAATTTAGTCCCTTAATTTTTAACTTTATACTAAAATTATCTTTAAACTTTAAAAAAAATTAAGATTACCTCTAAAACTTTGATTTTTGGTATCATAGCCACTTTTCGTCAACAAAAGTCACACTTCTCCCTCTTCTCCTTCATCTTCTCACTTCTCTTGCGCTCATCTAGGGTTTCCAATTGGTGGCTTCTTTACCATTTACGTCTCTGATTTGTGGCTTTCCCAGCCATGAGTCACCAAATTGACACCCGTCCTATGATCTCCAAGAATTCTCAGCACTGCCCCGAAACTCATCTCTACTGTTGTCAATTCCGGCGTTACTCATTTTCTTGTTCATGGTGTCTTTGATTTTTCTCAATGGGTTTCATAGTTTTCATTTTTTGTTTTTTCTTTTGTCAAAGCGCAATCTAGCGGGTTTTTGTTGGGTGTGCAGAATGGCGGCTGGCATTTAGTGAAAGAGAGGAGCCCGAAATCAATCGTTTCCTTCTTTTTTTTTTTAACTTGGATTCACGGTATTCGGAAGTTTACCGAACCACCTACTAATGCAGATTTGATTCAAGTAAGACTTAATGGACGAGCAAAGTTTTCTTTTATGAGTTTTAACGAAATTATATTTTCAAGATTTGAAACGAATAACTTTGATTAAATTAAAAGAGTTTTTTGTTAACTCATCCAGAGTAAATCAATTGTTTCTTAATCTTCTCCCTGTCATGGGTGTTTTGCAATTGCAGGTATAGTCAAAGATATTTTTGGGTTTTGCTGTTGCGGGCAGCGCTTATAGACTTTTAACAGAGAAGGAAACATGTAACAGAGATTTGGATTTATTAACATGTGATTAAGATTTTATAATAATGATTAATTATAATTATTTACTTGATTAATTACTTTTAAATGATATTTTATTTATTTAAATAATAAAATGTTAAAATAATATGAATCCTATTGCCACATTAACCCTTTAGTCTATGTGGCATTTTCATGTAATGTTAATATTTAAAAACATGATGTTTTTAACATAAAAGTTGGCCATATTAATATTTAATTGACAAAAGTAAAAAATTGCTATAAAAATTAAAGTCCAAGAGTAATTTTAATACTTTTCAAAATTTAAGAATGATTTTGATACAAATCTAAAAGTGAAGGGACTAAATTAATATTTTAACCTAAGAATAAGAAAATAAAAAACAAAAAAAAATTGCTATAACTTCCTTGAAAAAAGAAAGAAAGAAAGAAAGAAAGAAAGTGAAGTGCAGTCCGAGTAGAGTGGACTGCATTCTCATAATTACTTGTAATTATTGTAAGATTTTGGGGAAGGTAAAAGTTAATAAAAACTGGTGACATATTCAAGAAATAATTAACTGAGCTTTGGAAGGAAAATGAAGTGCTGAGGACTGTTTCAGTAAAAGATGGTGAGAACTGATGACTAGTGTGATTACCCATAAAAGATTTTCCCAGGTTGATTTATTTTTCCCTTTTTTTTAAAAAAGAAAAAAGCAAAATTTTCAGATAAAGGTAATTAGAAACTTAGTCTTTTTTTTTTTTTAACAAATTTATAAGAAGTCGGATTCGAACAGTTGCCCTAGGGGTGAAAGAATACACTTTACGTAACATGACGTCACTCGACCCAAGGTTCAAGTGCAATTAGAAACTTAGTCTTGAATATTACAAATATAAGAGAATAATAGATATTAGTCCCTCCTCCAATTAAGGTTCAACTGCAAAGACACTGTTTTTAAGGGATATTTTTTAAAACTTAAAATTAAATTTAGTATTTTATTTCGGTATATTATTTATTTTAATTTGTAAATCAATTAAGTAAATACATTTAATTAATTCACTAATTATATAAAATTTAAAATCATTAAACATATATTAAAAATATGTATTTTTGAAGTTAGGACTTCAATTTTTCAATTAGAGTCGAATTAGAGTCGAATTGATATATATTATTTTCAAAATATATAATACATAAATTACAAACAAATATAATTATCTGGCTGTAAATTTGTTCCTATCTTTGATCCTAGCATGAAGAACCGGTGAGAAGAAAGAATCCAGAAAGCAATTTGTAAGAAGTAACATCTGTAAACTGGAGTAGCTCAGCCAGTTTTCTCAGCCATTGATCACCTTCTCCATTATCACATTGTTCCAATAGTCTAGTGGACCAGGTAAGCACCAATGCAAACAGTCATTCTGAACTTTGGCAGTTTTGTTTTTTGCAAATGGATGAAACTCTCGATATGGACCTGGATGACCATCAGGCCTCACCAATAAGAGATTTGTGAAGTCAAGAAGATTAAGATTCACTCCGTTTTTAGCAGCTTTTTCTGCTGCTTTCTCAAACTCTGCCAATTCTATGTCATGCAGAAGCTTATGGATGACCTTCATTTCGATTTCCCCTTCTTTAACTGGTGTAGTTTTCGGACAAGTTCCTCCGCTGTGCCATTCCCCATTCTCAAAGTGATCCGGTGTGGATGTCCTGAAAAAGATCAACCCCTTGTGACCGGATTTTGCAATGAAGTCCATCACAGAGTGGAGGGCCTTGCTGTAAGCAAAGACGAATCCTACTTGTGTGATGTTCTTTCCAGGGCATATATGGCAACCAACCACAGTGTCATTTTCATGGTAGATTGCAGCTTTGAGAAACCATTTCCCTGTCGAGATGATCATGTAGTCTACGCTCTGGTATACATCTGTCCATGTTTTATCAAGTTTGTCAAGATGGAGCTCAACCTCAGATGTTGAGACCCCATTAAAGTCTTCAAAGATAGCAGCTTTTACAAGAAAGGGTGACCAGATGTTTGATACAGTCAAGTTGTAAGATGGAAAGTACCATCTCTTTGACCTGTATTCCTCATCGTGGTAAACTTCCACAGCTTGTTCAACCTGAAAGTTTGAGGGTGAGAAAACATCAACCAATCATTCAGAAGATAACCCCATATTGTAGCGCAGAAGAAAACTTTTGCCTTTGCTTCCATGACATGCTGCCTAGTACGAATGAGCTTCACTCAGGTATTCAGTTTTTAAGATCATAGAAAAACTTTGCACTGATGATTGCATAGCATAACTCTTAAGGCCATAATCAAAGGACAAAAAACAACAGTTTCCAGAGTAAACCATAGTCCAAATTTCAAAGTGACTAAATATGTACAAACCTAATTATCAGCAAGTTTCCACTAAATACAAAGAGATGAAATAAAATATATAAATAACACACACACACACACACACTTAACCTGTAAGAAGCAGAGATCAACCCCTAACAGAAAGCCATTTTAAGTCCATAAAACCCAAATGACACCATAAGGCCTCATTGGATGCCCTTGAAGCAACTTTCTTAAAGAGGAAAGTTTGGGGGAAGTGGAAGATTTGAACCTAGGATCCCCTTCATCAAAAGCGGCAATCTCACTAGCATTAACTATATCAAATCAGACTACTGCTTTGAGATAATTGCTAGACACTTGTATTATATTTTCAATATCACAATCACGTACAACAGATTTATGGAAAATGGAAATAAAAGGAGAAGGGGAAAAAGTAACCCACTCCTTCAGAGTACAACTAAGGAAGCACATTGCTTATAACATGTATTAATGCTTATAAGTCTCTCTATGACTAGGGACTAAGTTAGGGAATTGTTCTTTTTCCTCAAAGTCTGGCAATTGTTAATTTCACATGTTTGTGCTTTGATAATGAAGCTTGCATATATAGAGTTTAGAGTATGAGATCTAATCATTTCAATGCACAAAATGCAAACTACAAAGTTTGAAAGAATTTTTGAAATACTTAAGAGATTTGAATTTAAACTATAAAATAGGTTCCTAAGGGAAACTCTAAATCTCTAACAAACATGAACAACAAGGGGCTACTCCGTTAGTTCTAGATATCTTCTTTTCTCTGGCCAACATTAGTTCTGCCCATAAATGTCTAGTTCCTTGCATCCCCTTGGAACCATGAACTGAATTCCAGGACCTGCATCATGGTTCCCTGCAATCCTTGATTGCTTGGTTCTAACCCTCTTATACTATAGTTAATTAAGTTATATACCACATTCCTGGCCAAACCTGTGCTGGGAACCAAGGTGTATCACATTCCTGGCAAATAATAACTATGGTTCTAGCTACCTAGTTGAACTATTTCACAACTAAAGCAATAAAGCCAATAGATCAGGTAGTCACTCTTCTCTGTTGGATAAAATCTTGATTGTAACCTCAAGTGCTATGTACCTATGCCAGGATTATAATTTATAACCATGCAGATTACATATAAATCTTATGACAGTAATCAAACTTGCTTCCACTTAAAATTATCCAAAGCCAATATAATAATGATATATTTGCTATATATCCATAACACATACCCTTGAGAGCATACACAGCAATGACTGTACATGGTTGCGAGAAATAGAATCACCAATCAATGCCCATTTCTTATTCCTCATCATCTCAAGAAATTTCTTGGCATCAAATTGAGGTAACTTGCAATCACGTGGTTTCCACATCCAATGTAGATAGCCCGAATCAGGACGACCATTCTTCATACAATTCTGATGGCTTTCAATCAGGGAACAGCTCTCATTGGTGTAAATTGGACCCAATGGATTGGGAATCCAGTCACCTGTTAGAAGATCACACTTCTCTACAACAACATCTGAGGCAACCATAAAATTAAACATCAAATTCACCATAAGGGTCAGAACTCAGAAGCAGAACAGGCAACCAAACAGATCAGGTAACAGCATCCATCAATCAACAAATGCAGTGTCACGAGAAAGCAAACAGCATCTATCAGTCAACCACCAGCAAAAGCTTACTTATTTGTGAAAATATCTAATCTAACCAAGTAACCATAATTCTCCGCAAGCTAATAAATAATAACAGTACAGTAAGAATCAATGGAATAACAAATATGAGATCTATAAAATACAGTAGATAAAAACATTAATCAATCAAAAAAGTGCAGCATCACAATAATCTGAAGAACAACATTTTCTCATTCACACACATCAAAATTTCATATATTTATTTTTCAAATAAAAAACAACATTTCCAAATTGTAGATCTCGAATAAGTAAGTCTACTTCCAGCTAATTCAACACTCTTCTGCAAATGAAAACATAAAAAACCCAACTCGAAAAATCCCAACTTTCTTACCTAGAGGCATCTGATCCTCATTTTCGGGTATCTCGATGGAAAGTTTCGGCGGTGGCACTGCCATCTGCTCTTTCCCCCCCAAAGGGCTCTCTAAACCCGTTGGAAATTCCGATGAACGAGAAACGAAGAGCCAAAATGCAAAACCCACAAACAGAATGGCGATCGCAAGCCTCACTAGTAAGTAGTGGTGCTTGTTCATTGACCACAGTTTCCAGTACTCTTTCATCTTCTCTTCACCCTCGCCTCTCAATTTGCTTTGAGTAAAAATTTGTAACTGAAATGACTTCCCGTTCTATATCCGTGTATCGACCACAAATCCAAACAAACAATTCCAAAAACTCAGACGTCCTCAGAAAATATATTGACAAAAAAAGAAGAGTCTGGTGACCGACAATAAATGATTGGGCATTGTTCTCAAATATTAAACTGATTCCAGAAAACGAAAAGCAATAAAGCGAGGAGTGGAGGAGTATCCTAAAGACAAAGGCAGGTTTTTTTTTTGTAAAAATATTGTTAATGAATTCTTATTTTCTTTTTCTTTTTTTTTTTTACGACGTTAATGAATTCTTTATTAAGTACTGTTATTTATTATGGGATTTTGTACTGGCACATTCAATCCTTATATAATTTACATTGATTAGTATTAAAAAATAAAATTTGTTTAAGGCAATGGTGCCCAATTTTTTTGAATATCGGAGAATTTGAGGATGAGAATAGGATTTTTTTGAAGTAATGGTGGAAGTTAAACTTTTGATCAATCAAATTTTAGCACTTAAGATTTAGTATAAATTACTAAATTTGAAAGTATGGTTCAATAATACCCAATTGATTTATGTAGTATTAATGATAAAATTAATAATAATTTTTATATTTTTTAATATTAATTAATATTAAAAATATATAGTAATTACATATTTAACTTATATTTTAAGGGAACAAATTAAAAAATCTTATTTATTATTAAGGTATTTAAGTATTTGACTTTTTAAAATTTGTATTTTTAAAATATTAGTTAATGGTGTAATTATTACATTTTTTTACATTAATTGATATTAAAAAAATACAAAAATTAACATTAATTTTACTATTATGACATGTTATGTGTATTCTTTTAATTAGATAATATGTTAAATACAAGCCAATTTTTATCTTTTAATATTAAATAATATTAAACATATACAATAATTACATGCTTAGAGCACAAGTTAAAAAATCCTAACAGTGAAGGAGTAAAAAAAAATTTTTTGGTTATTAAAATATATAGAATGGGAAGAGAAAAAAAATTTTATTTTATTTTTTTAAAATTTATTTATATAAAGAAAATGGATGAGAAGGAAATGAAGGAAAATAAAAGATATAGTTTCCCTTTTCTCCCTTCCCCTTTCTTTTCCTTCTACCTAAATATAAGGTAATTATTTTTATAAGATTTTTAGATATTTAACTTACATCATTAATGGTATAAATATTGTACTTTTAAATCATTAAAAATAAAAAAATATTAATATTAATATTAACATGAATGACACGTGTTTTATTTTAATTGATTACTTGATAAAAATAAAGTAACATTTATTTATTTTTATATAATTTATTAATTAAAAATTTCAATAATTACACCTTATGTTAAAAAATTCCTTAATTTAATTGATGAGGCCACCTTTTCTCTTATCCTTCTCTTTTTCTCCATTTTTCTCACATCAAACACGCCATTAATTATTCCGTAGGCCTCTTTGGTACATAGTTAAATTTGTTGAATGGTACTCTTATTCTAGAAGTTTATGAAAGCATAATATTCCAATTTCCAGTTCAATCATATTAATTTTATTCGTAGTAAATGCCAAATATGTGGTTGTTTATGCTGGTGGGGTTATTGCACAGTGGCGGAGGCAGGGGGGTGCGAGGGATACTCACCCCTTGAAATTTGAAAATTTTGTAAATTAGTATATGAAAAATTATCTAGTCCTCCTTAAACTTCAAAAATTTTAGTATTTTACCTCCCAAAAAAATTTCTGCCTCCGCCCCTATTATTGCACCCTATATTAATAACATATATTAGACTTTTTAAAAAGTTTTCTATATTTTTATTTTTTAATAAATTAAAAAATATAATAATTATTTAAAATAAAAAATTATAATATTAATAATTACATATACAACAATAACATCAATTTAATTATGCATATTTTTCTTTTTTTATTATAGAAAGAGACCAATATCAACTAGAAAAAATATGAAAACAGGCAGTCTTTCTAAACCC